GTAAAAGGAAAGCAGGCTATTGTATACACCAAGGGGTGGGGGGGGCGGGAAACGATGCTTTTCAATGTACTTATATTTGTTTTCCAGTGCGCAGGTACCATTTTATATTAAACACATAATTTTCAAAGTCAGATTTGTAGGAGGGAGACAGCGGGGCATTGTCTGCTGCCCCATGAAAATGTGTGGCTGAGAGCCTGGGAGTTTTCCTCTGTGCGTGTGTATATGTTCATATTTCCATGTTCTTTTAGTCTTGTGTGGAAGAAGAAAGCCCACTGAGAAGTAACATGTCACATTTGGCCAGGCTCAGAAACTGGTCCCTCTTCGACACAGCCCTGAAGGGAAACTACGTCAGCCCAAATAATGACAGTTTGGGAACATTTCGCTGGTCGAAGGCGAATGTGGCGGCGGGGGCGGGGGAAGTGACTCTTCCCTCTACAAAAGTTCAGGGACGTGTTTCTGGGAACATTGCGGCAGACGCTCTGGTGTCATGAAAGGTGAACGGGTAAGGGAAATTTTCAGCACGTGAGCAGAGATTTAAATAAGGGTATTCATCCAGGTAATGAGAAATGCCTCCATATAAGCGCTGCCACAATCAAAACACAGGACCGTGTACAAAACTAAGGGTGCTCTACATGTTACTAACCATGCCTCGTCCTTCGGTCCTTTCTGTCAGTTCTGCTTTGTCTCCTTCTATATTCATGGCTTTCCCATTTTGTGGTCTGCCATAAATAAAAGTTTGGTTCACTTTTCCGGGCCTGTTCTCCCATAAATAACCTTCTATTGACAGCCATAGATTACTCAGGAAGAAGTAGATAATGGGAACTGAAACTGTAGGTAAGAAGTGTTTTTCTTTCTTCTAAACAGCCCATCTGTCTAACTGTATTCCTGGTACGTGAAACACCTGCTTCTGCTTCCCAGGGGCCGGCCTGGCTCTGCAGTCGCAGCTGGCGGTGCTCAGGGAGGGGCTCCGACCCCCTTCTCCGGGCGAGGCAGATGGCGCGCCAAGGCACGTTGGTGGTTGTCTTTTTTTTATCATCGTCCGCAGTGCTGGACAAACTCATGGGGACAGAGCTGACTCGTTCCGAGGCAGGCGGGCAGGGCGCATGGTCAGAACGTGCGCAGAAAGGACGACGGGACAGCCGCAGGGCCAGGCGCCGGGAGAGGCCATCGCCTACTGACCCCGTCACAGGCGTCAGGAACCAGGCCGCCAGGGCGGAGGAGGCACGGAAGCCGCAGTTCCCGAGAGCAGTGCTGGCCTCTCAGGTGGGCGGGGGTGCGGCCAGGGCCCCTTCAGAACGGGCCACGGCAGGCCGGGCTCACGGCAGGCACCAGAACGAAGGCCGAAGTCACACAGAGCGACCTTCCGCAGAGTCGTCCCAGGAAGACGAGGCATCCGGATGGAGTGGCCGTTGCGGGTAGAAGCCAGGGTTCCAAAAGATACAACGCCCCATCTGCAGGAAGGAGTCGCTGGCCAGCTCCTTGTGGAAAGGACAAAAATTAGCTGTGAAGGGGGGCCTGTCTTGTTGCGTGACCAACTCAGGGAACATTTCCTCAGAGAGGGCACAACGTTCTCACAGTCCCGCCCCGGACAGACCTGGGCGGCCGGCCACGCCCTTTGACCGTGCGTGGGGAGGCTGAGGTCACTCTCTCTGGGGTGCGGCAGGACCCCCCTCCTGGACGGGGGGATGGTTGGTGAAGAAGAGGAAATGCAAGAAGGGCAGCCCTCCGAATGAACGAGAACACAGGAGTATGGATAACAAAGACACACCGTGAAGTTGCAGTTGTGAGCCCTTTTGACGAACCTGAGTGAGCAAGTTCCATTCTCAATGACTTGCCCAGCGCACCTGTGTGTTGTGTCTGTTTTACGTCCAGCGTGATGCATTTCAGGAAGTCAGATACATAGATCAGGCTGTGATTTGAATTCAATAATACAAACTGTTGATTAGGTAGGCTAGCATTGTTTAAACGTCTATGGAAATCTAATTGGCTTAATGAATAAGCTTTTGCCTGATCAGTTAGACAGATAAAATATTGGTATTTAGAAGAATGCTTCATGCATAAATTAAAGTAGAAAGAGTGGCATTTTTCATGAACACAAACTTTTGGGATGGGAAGGAATTTATCAAGGTTCTTAAAAACAGCAGAGGCCCCACTATGTCATTGTTCATAGCCAGTACAAAATAAGACTGAAGTGAAACTCTAGAAATAGCTGCCGGTAAAGCAGAGGTGCGACTATAGGTGAACTGCGCTCAGGAATATGGTCAACTGAGTCCTGTGAACAGGGATAGAATCACGAACTGAGAACGTGCGACTTGAAAATGTTTCACCAATGACTAGGAAGCAGAAGGGCACTTTCATGAAAGTATTTTTTGGCTAATCATAGAATTAAGTTTTTTCATCCTCCCCTGAGGACACTTTTCATTGCTTTTCGAGAGAGAGGAAGGGCGAGAAATATTGACGTGAGAGAGGAGCATCCATTGGATGCCTCTCTTCCACGACGGGTATCAAACACGCAAGCTAGGCACGCACCCTGGCTGGGAATCGAATCCGTAACCGAAACATCCTGGGCCGACGCTCCCACCGACCGAGACACCCTAGCCGGGGCTAGAATTCATTCTTAGTAGTGCTGCCTACCATTACAATAAAAGTATGTGATATAACTCAGCACGTAAAAGAGTATGATGCGAGAATTAAAATCCAAAGGATAGTAATAAATTTGAAAAGGGCACAGGCTGGGGCCAAAGTAGGTTTACAGTTGTTGGTATGAAAAGTAAGAGAATCATTAATAAGTACAAACACAAGAATTCAGTCTGTTTCGCGTACTGGCCACTGTAGACCCACTCTTGCCCACCCTGGAGATACATCTGGGGGGTGAGGGGGCCACCTGAGAAAGGAGGTCCTGACCAAAAATAGATCTGCGCACACACCTGACTTGCAAGCTACTGTCCTCTCCCCGTGCCTTTCATATCAAACATCTTCGGGGGAAAAACCACCCTCTGCATACACCACGCCAATGCGGCCTCTGTAATCTGCCACTTCCTACCCTCCCACAATAACGTCTTACTCCCATCGCTAGGGAAACCGCCATCCAAGCTGCATTTCTCAAAACTCGGTGAATCCCGTGGGCATGGAGTCCCCATGCGGTATTTAAAAATATAATAGAAGGACACTTTTCAACACAAAGTCCATTTTGATAGAATAACACTGAAAGAACGATGAGGTTGTTCTATGAAAGGAGAGATGTCCTCGTACATGTATGACGCTGAAACTGAGCAGCGGGTCACGCTTTGTTGCTGCCCAGGTAAAACATACGTGCTGGACCTGTTGCGTTGTAGGGACGCAGGTACGTGCCTACCTATACATACTCGTGTGCTTCAGTATGTTTGTCCATAGTCCCGTTTTTAAGAAAACCACCTATTTCAAGACGCAGGCGGGCATGCTGTCGTTACGCATGGCGCAGGACTGCATATTCGGAAATGCTCGCCAGGGCGCGGAACAGACTGAGCGACAGGTTTGCCTCTCTTACGTCGGTCAAGAGCGGAGGAACATGCCCTGAGGGGACGTGTGTGAGGAGCACCGACGCGCCGTGCTGCCAGTGCCCAGTCCAAGCTCTGCGGTGTGTCTCCAAGGCGGAACCGCGCGCAGAGCTGAGCGGTTCCACGGCCCACGCGGCCAGGAACACTGCACGCTGCAAACGAGAACAGCGTCAGCTCTGTGACTCGTCTTTTCCTCATCAGCATCCGTTGCTTTTCCTCCTGCCTCCAGTGAGGTGCATAACGACCTCAACTTTCAACTGGACGTTGCTACAGTGCAGACACGGCTCACGCGAGAACCGCCTCAACACTCTCCACGTCCCTAGTTACTAGTTCCTCAGCTATGAAAATAAAGGATCTGAATCCTTTGCGTGATGAGTACTTATAAAAGGGAAGCACCTAGATGCATCTTTTAAAAAGTGGTTTATGGGGGTGACTCGGGCTAATGACATGTCAGTTTCAAGTGTATGGTTCTGTTGCACATCATGTGTGTATTGCATGGTATCCCGTGCCTCGGCCACAATCGTCAGGAGAACACGAGACGCGGGCTAACTGAAAGCCGTGCCCTCGAAGCCCGGACGGCGGTCGCGAATCAGCACTCAACGCCCGGGGCTGGCCAGCTGTTCCTTTGCAAGCTTCTCCTACGCACGGGCTAGTCCGCTATTGTGAACCTCGAATGTAACAGTTTTGTTTTTTTAACACCGCGTGCGGTTTTATGATTTAACTTTAAAACCAAACCTATTTTCTCTCATTGTCAAGGGAAGCCGTGGGTTACCATAGTTACAAACTAAAGAGTGGTGCTGAAAAGAAGGAAAAAAAAATGACGACTGAAATTTTAAATGACAGGTTCCAAGACACCAGGAAATTGCTCCAACAGGGACCTGGGAACCGAGGAAGCCGCCATTCTCGGGAAGGACCCTGCAGACAGGCCGGGATGGGGTCAGGGAGTCTCTTCTGTCTGGTTTTCCACACGGCGGTGCCACGGCGCCTCGACATGCTGGTCCCGTGACGCAGCAGCGCGTGCGGCGGGTGCTTCTTTGCCTTCGGCCCACGAGCGTGAGGACGCAGGTGCCCTGAGCGGCACAGAGCGCGCGCGGACTCACCTCGCGGGGGAGCGGGGCGCACAGCCCGGAGAACGCCGCGGTCGCAGGGGCCGCGCGCCACGGCCCCGCCCTGCACCTGCCGAGACAGCGTTCTCCAGGGAAGCCGCCAGCCGGGGCAACAGGCCCCGAGGCGCAGGCTGCCCGTATAAAATACTGTCAAAAGGCCTCCAGCATTCCGATTCATCTTTGCTTGGGGAGGCACCCGTGAAGGATTTATTAAACCATCACACAAACAGAACGTTCCCATAAAATGGTCAAAGGCGAAATATCTAGAGACTAAACGGACTGGACAACGAATTGAGAATGCACCCGCTTCGTGTCATGTAAGGAAACGACACAGAAAGGTTTAATCACGTGGCTCGCGTGGGAGAACATGGAAAAGCAAGGAACAGCGCCGCGCTCTCCCAAGTCTGTGCGTAACTCCCAGGAAAAGAGGCAGTAGTGGGTGTTTACGTGCTAGAAGGGGTGTATTTGCGGCTTCCAGGGACCATAAAACTGATTTAAGGACCAGTTGCCAATGGTAAAAAAAGACAAATGCATAACAATTAAGGGCAGGCAATTAAAAGCTGGTTTGTTTCTAAGCTGTTGCTTCTTTGTCATGGAGAGGCCCAGTAAAAACCGATTTAAGATCCGAGCCAGTGTGCGGTGAGTGTGAACCCACACACGGAATTCCTCCGAGACACAGGACCACCCCTCAGATGAGCGAGGACGCGGCATCGGAGCCACAAGGTTTAAACATAACAGCTGAGCGATCGGGTCGCTCCCTCCCGAGACGGCTCGGTCAACACGGTTCTTCACGTTTCGCACTCGTTGATCTGCCTACGTTTTTCCACCTGAGTGGCATCCTGAAGCACGTTGCCAAATTCTAAGAAAAAGCCTCTTATTTCTTTGCACCAAGTAAAAATTTAATTACGACAAATAATGAAAAGTATTATGAAAACTAATGAAGTGGACAGAGTTCTGCCATGTAAAAAGTATGTAATTAGCAACCCCCCTCGAAACTGTCAGAAATGTGTTTTTGTGGCGCTCTTTTACGCTTAGGCCTTCTCTTCGAACCAGTTCTCCTTCAGCAAAAACTTGACGGTGTCGTCGAAGCCGCGCTGGTACAGGCATTCCATCTTCCTCGTGCTGGGGGGGCAGAGGGCTTGGCTGAGCCTCACCAGGTTCGCCAGGGACAGCTAGGGCGGGAAGACAAGCTGAGCTGTAGGGCGGGACAGTGCCGGGCGGTGCATGCTTTATCTGTACCCTAGGCTTTCTCGTCATACATGGGATTAGGGATTTTAAAACAAAACCAATGACGGAGGGAAAAACTGAACTGGACTGGGTAACGCCACCCATCGCCGAGATGAGGGCTCTCCGCCTGGGTGCCACGGGTGTCCGCGGCCAGGTCCCTGTGTGTGGACGGGCCCTGAGCACTGTGGGGTGTGGCGAGGCATCCCGGGTCGCCCCCTACGAGGTGCCCGGAGCCCCTCCCCCGTGACACCGCCACACAGGCCTCCCGACACCGGCACACGTGTCCTGCTTGGAACACCGCCCCCTGCTGACAGCTGGGTGAAGGGAACGAACATCTCCATGGCAGTGACTCAGGGGGGTCCCTCAGTTTTTCTCCCACAGTGTTATATACTTAGCTACTGCCACCTCTTCAAGAAATAAATGAGCTAACGTAAAATTTCACTGAAATCCCGCCACGTTTATGGATGTGAACAAAGAGGGAAGCAATAGCAAACCACTTCCCCAACAGGCAGTTATTAAACTGTGAAAGAATTACGCACTCTCAGTCTGTCCGTACAAAGGTCCACGGGCGTGGGACACGTTGGGAAGGATTGTAAGACATGCCACCGCGCGGAAGGCCGTTGTACGTAAAATTATCAGGGGCTTCCCCAACGGTGGCGGCGCGGGGAAGCCTGTAGGAGGGTGAAACCCTTCACGCGTCCGCGCACACGGGGGCTCACCGTGATGTCCTGATTCGCAATGGTGACGTAGAGGTCGGGCCGCCCCGCGTCCCGCGGGGAGATGTCCAGCCGCCCGCTGAAGGGCGAGATGGTCACGGTCCGGCCCGCAGGCAGGATGGGGAGGCTGTCGGTGAGACCGCCGTCCGCCCACTTCTGTGGAGGAGAGACGCCTGTCAGCACCGGGAAGGGCTCTTTGCTTCTTTGACAACCCCTGCCTTGGAGAGGCTCTTAAAATCACCTTTTATCAGGGCCCGTCCAAGCGGGGCTCTGCTTAGGAAGCAAAGTAACCTTCATGCCCGTGTCTGATCCCCATAGAAAGAGAGCCTGGCAGAAGCGGGGTGCCTGGCCCACTGTCGAGAGGCGCTAACCCGACTCTTCTCAGTGAGGCAGAGCGCGGTTTTTACAGGGGACCGTGCAAGCGCTGGAAGCCGTGTGCAACTCGGCTGAGATGCGTCCTTTAATCCTAAGGGGACGGCCAGGTTTGCTTCGGACACTGAGCAAACCATCCGCCACTGCGGTGCATTTCATTCTGACTCGCAGAACTTGCAAAGCAGCCCCAGAAATCCTTCCATTTCCAAAGCGGCTGCTGGGTCCAGGAGGTCTGAGGCCAGAAGGCATGGCAAGTGCTCCCTAAGAAAGAAGTTCTGCTCAGAAGGCAGTCTGTGCTGTCAGGCCGTGCCTGAAGGAGATGGGTCGACAGAGCAGGCCAGGGAAGCTTCTCGAGGCTTCTGCAGCACTGTGCGCTGAGGAAGGACAGCCAAAGAAACCCAAGAGTCCTTCTGCTACCTATTTCGAGGTGAAGGAGTCCCCATCCATCCCTGAGCTGATGCATTTACACAATCAGCTCCAACCGTAAACAAACACACCCACAAAATTCAAGTTCCTCACCGTTCTCTCCCCTACGGGAAAGATCCTTCCATTGACATGCAAAACACACACACACACACACACGCACGCACGCACAACAGGGTCTGGTAATGGTTGAAAATCCCTCCCCCAAGAAACCTTAGCGGAGCCGGAGCCGGTGAGCATTTAAAATGGGACACAGAAAAGCAAAGCCCTGCTCCTCAGCCCCGAAGCCGAGGGAGGAGTCAGCGGCACGTTCGGACACCGCGTCCAGAGCTCACTCAACACAGTTCGTTCCTTTTTCTACAGTCCCTCTCCTTCTCTTTCAAAATGTCTTTCTTACTTGTATTTCTAATGCCGGGGACTCAGGGACCGGTACTACATTGTCCCCAGTGGCCTTGGCCAACCACCACCTCTCTAAAAGGAAACAGTGAAAACGGGTTGAAATAAATCTTTGAGGGAATGGCATTTGGGTGGAGGGCAAAACTTGGGTAGTTAGATGAGAATGAACCAGACCTGGATACTTTGTATATTGTCATTGTTTTAAAAAGAACGTAATACGTATTATGATGCAGTTATATTATATGTGGTATATAGGTACTCATCTCCGTATGGGTTTGTGTGTATTTAGCACACCCATGTTCTCATGCTTGTGCATATAAAGGGCATGGGATTATATGGTTATACATGCATCCACAGTTATACAAATAGCAAGGAAGGAAAAGTTTACGGTAAGTGGGAAGGCCCCAAAATATCTGCGTCTGTGTCTTATTGTACCAGAGCTGCTTTTTTTCCTTTTCTTTCTTTTTTTTTTTTTTTCCTGTGTTGTGTTTTCTGGTTGTTTTGGGCATGGATAGCAACTTCTGGAACAAGTTCCTACCTAGACGGGGGAAAAAGCAGGCACCTTCCAAAATCCTCTCTCATATTCTCCACAGAACATCTCCCCACGCGTGATGCAAACTCTGTAGAGCTTTCAGTGGGAGGAATTACGAATAGGCATCACGTGTCACAGAACTTCAGGCAGAGCTCATGGGACTTCTCCGACTTGGGGGCAGGCGGTTGTCTGGGTTGCCGAGCGGCCGCGTGCCCCGGTTCCCTGCGGGGGGCGCGGGGGGGGGGGCGGGAACCACCGCTCTTTCAGGAAATCTTCCTCCTGATTTTGTTGGTTCTTGTCAGCTTGCTCTGATTGGACCAGTGACGGGGAAAACGCAGCGTTTAGGCGGCCTGACGAAGCGGGCAGCGCTGGCGGCTGCCCTGCGACCCAGCCCGGCCGCCCAGGGCGCGGTGTCTCGCTCCTGAGTTACAGGAGCTGCGCCGCTCCCCCAGGCCACACATTCCCGCAAAAATGTCTGCCGACAGCGACCGTGGCAGCAAACGTGCATCAACCTCCAAACTAAAAGGCGGAATCATCGCCCCGGCCAGGCGGCTTGCAGGGTGGGGCGCGGTCCCGTACACGAAAATGCCGTGGGCTCGACCTCCCGTCAGGGCTCCTGCCTGGATGGGCCCGACTGCCCCGGGCGGAGCCGTGGGGCGCCCCCTCTGCTTTATCTGCACCCTCCCCGTCCTGCCGCACCGCCACCCCCGGCAGAGCGCTCGGGCCACGCTCACCCAGGAAGCACAGAAAAAGCCCGGAAGGACGGCGGGGGCCGGGGGGGCGGAGCACAAAGAAAGCATCCGCGAGTCACAGGGAGATCAGCGCGGAGAGCGCTCCCGAGGCCGGTCAGCCAGGGGCCTGGAAGGGTCAGCTGCGGGGCTGGCAGGCGTGCGTGCCTGCGGCAGGGGCGCTGGGCTGGGCCCCGAGTCAGCGAGCGCATGCGTGGGGGGCAGGCAGGAAACACGTGTCCCGCGTGAACGTATGAATCAATAAATCTATACCGTGGGTATATAAAACAAATGGTATTCATTCAGCAACACGTCTGTGCCTGGTGTTGCACATGTGTTAACCAGATACTGCATGGATACACAGACACACACATATAGGTTCACACATATGTATAAACCCGGTATGTCTTCCACGGACAGTCTTTGATCACGAACGCAGGCCTCCGATACAATAACTAGGTACTGAACTTGATCAAGGGCGCGCCTGTGGTCGCTGTCCCGCACGGCCCTTGCCGGTAGGACGCCCGTGTCTGGCGTGTGCCGCCCACCGGTGGCGTGGGTGTGAGGACTCTGTGTGTGATCTCAGAGGCGGCCATGCTGGAGGCGGCCGGCGCGGGCGACGGCGGGCACACGGCACACCCAGGGCGCTGGCCGCCGCCGCCGGCGGGGGATGGTGCCTGGAACCCGTCTGGCAGCCCGGCCTCCCGCCGAGAGCAGAGCCCCACGGGAAGAGAGCGGTGCGCAACGCCCTCCTTGAAACCCGTTGGTAAGTGTGGGAGGGAGCAGGGGGCTTGCTGCGCAGCTGGGCCCCGGGGTGGGTGGGGGAAGGCCTGGGCGTTGCTGGGGGCGGGCGGGGCGTGAGGGGGCAGGTGTGCCTGCCCGGACGCTTTTCCTGCCCCGAAAGCTCGGTCCTGCGCCTTGCTGTTTATAGAAGGGACTCCGCCCGGGACGCAATTTTTAAAGCAGATGTAAAAAGGGGCAGCGCGGGCGTCCTCAACTGGGAGACGCTGGCAGTGAGAGGCCTCAGCTGCTGCACTCGATTCTTACTTTCCGTTACCGGAAACAACAGTTTCCAGAAAACCCCTCTGCATGGATGGGGGGCTGCCCCCCGGGGTCATGATGCAACTGGATTCTCCAAGGAAGAGTGTCCACGCGGGAACCACCGACAGGTCGCCCGGGGCGGGGAGGTTACCTGTCCTCTGTACTCCACTGGGCTCCGCCCCGCGTACACGGGAATGAAACTGCTCGCTAGCAGAACCTGCAACGAGAGACGGAAGCGGCTCGTGAGCAGAGGCCTTCGCGGTCACATGGCGGAGCTGACGTGTCATGCACCGCCCAATGCTGGAGGTTTAATGAAACAAGAAAATGGCTGTAAGAATTAGGCAACTTACACATATTTCAAACACGCAATGGCACGCGCTGACATAGAAGATTACGGCGAATATCTGAGAAGACCCTGAAGAGACAGGGACAATTCAGTGTTTTTGACTCCATTGCCTTCCCCTGAGTAAAATCCGCATTTGCAGGTCAAGATGCAAGTCCAGTGATGTGTCAATTCTTGAGCGTATATAAGGGTGTAAATAAGGTCTTCGTGATGTCCTCTCATGCGCTGCCAAGATGCTTTCAGGGTTGCAGCCCTGTTTTCTGGAAGAACCTCCCCTCCTCCGGTCCCAGGAGCCCGCGGCTCAGGCGCGTGCTGATGAGTGCCACCAGGAAGCCCGCGCGGGGGCAGCCACGTTTTCTGTGGTGGCGGCGTGGTCTGAGACCTGGTGAGGCGCGGCAGGCAGGCCCACGACTTCTTTATCCTGCACTGACAAAGTCGGCAAAGAGCGCCGTTTGAACGCGACCGTTTCTTCCAGCAGAACCTGGGCTCCGGGAGCTCTCCCCGCAGGGACACGCCTGATTTTGCAGCGTGGCTCCCGGGCTGCTGCTGTTCTGCCTGGAAAACTGAACATCGAAGCCACGCTCTTTCAACAGATAAGCAAAGACTGTGCGGCCGTTTGCTGTCGGAGTTCATGAGGGCTGTTTCTTGGTTTTTCTCAGCATATTGGGAAAGGCATTACGGCCCCAAACAGACTGCGAAACCACTTGTTCAAAATGACCGAGAACTCGGAAGGTATTTCCCCCCAAAGACATGGCGGTACAGGTATGGCTTCTGCACTCAGCTCTCAAAGGCTGTGTACCCCCAGGTGGGACTGAAGGTCGGAGCCGGTCCCCAGCGTGATGCTCGGTGTACAGGAAAAGCCACGCGGACACAGCAGGAGCCACTCCCCTCCACACCGCGTGCTGGAGCGCAGAGGCCTCGGCTGCCCGGCACGGGGTCCCTCCCGCCTGCCTCGTGGCTCCTGGCTGCCCAAGCCCACGGACAGGAAAGGGTGGCGTCCCCTCACCCCGCCGCTCAGTCCTCCACAGGGCGGGCGCCAGCACCGGTCACGGGCGCCCTTCTCCGGCGGGGCGGGGGGTGGGGGGTGAAGACCGCTGGCGCCCCCCGCCCCAGGCTCAACGTGAGAGGAACAACGGCAATTCCCCACGTTGCTGCTGGCGTGTTGCGTGCAAGAAGAGAGGCCTGGGGAGACAGGACGGCACGCGTGACCGTGGCCTGGCCGCGTCTGGGCGTCCGAGGGGGTAGAGTGGCCGACTGGGCGAACGGAGCGGCAGCCCGCGGGCTTGCGGCAGGGACGCGGGAGGGGAACGCTGCCTGTCCC